TCTATGGCAGATCTTTTGTAGGATGTCATCTAAATCACATTTTTGTGCAATTTGTGGGAGGTGGTTTTAGTTATGTGGAGACTTCTAAATTAAGGCAAGGTTTTCTTTGTCGAATTAAGACTTGTTTAATGACACTGGGTACTCTGGCAACAAAATGTATTTTCTCAGCAAAATCAACTGGGGCCAGTTTATACGCTCCAATGTTTTTATCTGAACATACCCTACATCTGTTTTGGCACCAAGAAATGAAGAGTCGTGCTGCTGTCAAAATACCTTGGTTTTGGGCGATCACATTTTTTATTTGTGGAGTGTTTTTAGCATTTATCAAAACTGACCTGACTTTCTCACATAGGTGCAACCAGTGACTTTGCAGGTACCTAAACCCTATCGAAATATTTTGGTAGTTTTGAACATTGTAAGTGCATTCCCAGAAATCCTCCTCAATGTGCCTGCTTAGTTACAGTAGTAGCTGTCGTCAAGATCAGAGCCAAAGCTATAGCCAGACTTCATACAGCCTGCATGGCACATCCTGCTAAGAAAGGATGCTGCTTTGAACAAAACTACCTCACTGTATCTGCAGACGGTGGTTACAGTTGAGGCCATCTTTGTTGTCCCCGTCCTGCCCAAGTTTTGACAGCATTGTAGCACTCTAGATTGTGTGTTGTAATAAAGAACATATCAATAAGAAGTCTGAAGTAGCATTTCTTTTTGAACTGCACTATGAAAGTTATCTCATGCAAGCATTGTACCGGCACATTTTTAAATCGTTGTTTCTCCTCCAGGATTCAAAAAAATTTTCTGCACTTGGCAACATGGGCATCATGCATGTTGTTTGCCGTGGATTAAGCCACGTGGACCTTGGCATGCACTTTCTGAATTCTACACTGTGTCTACTTGTTGATTTACTAGTGTCCCCATTTGCTTGCTTGATAATTTTTACACATATACGGCAGATGCACTTCATCACTTTTTACTTTGGTATCATCATAGTACTGGTTAGAACGAGCAAGCAGATACTTGTGCAGTAGTACCCACTCAAAGAAGCCACCCTGACGAGATTTGTGTGCCACACCAAGATCTGAAAGTGCTTTGCCACATTCTGCATCATATTCGGAAGAGGTTGTGGGATATTAAAATCAACAAGCTCCATAGTAGCTTGTATTTGAGTGGTGCAGTCAAACCTGATTATATTGAACTCTAGTAGACTGAATTACCCTTTAGGTTGAACTACTTATTTTGATTCTTGGTTTTTGACTCGCCACCGGCCTTGCAGGGACACTGTTCACTTGTTCGCTTGTTTGTTAATGTCATAGGGGGGAAAGAAGGACAGTGCTGTAACGAAGAGTAATGCATAAAATTGTACTTGCACACTGTTTGAAGTCTTACATGTGTCTCCTTTTATGATGCAGCTCTTTGTTATTTCTGTAGACTGAAAAAATGCCTCCTAATTGTGCCACAAGATGTACAACTGGTCTACCCATTCAATTTAATGACATTTGCAGTTCTTGCGCCCTGCTATACTTAGCCACAGCAGCTCCACTCATCGTCTACCCACATATAGTGTGCCAAAATGGGAAAGCAGACACTTGGCACATTGGTTTGGTTCACTGAGAGTTCACGTCCTTCATGCAGTTCAATTCAATATTTTTTCTTCCAAGTTCGACTGCTCAAAGTTGAATTGTCCTATGTATAGAGTTTCTTTTTTTCAAAAATATGTGTTGTTTCATCAAATTAGTTACTCAAAGAGAAATGAGTAATTAAGAGAAAGAGTAATAATGAGAACTAATGCTGCATCTCACACAAAAAAATCAAGACCTCATATTTGTACTTGTCTTTATACTGAAGAAGCAGTCATAGGGTTATAGTAATAAAACCGCAATTGAGTTATTTCCAACAATTGAGACTAATGATTTCATGGTTGCAAGTACGTTTCAATGTGCTGTGTTTGTGCTGGCTTTAACATTGTTTTATGTGCTGTTGCAGATGTTTTGTTCCCCTCTGTGGAGAAGCAAAGAAATGGATTGCTTTAGATATTGACAGGAAGGCATTGCACCACCTGCTTCTTGGAAAGCATTCATCATTTTACACTTATGATGGAACTTAATACGTTATGAACACAGAAGTGTGACAGTGATGTGACTGTCTATGGACTGCTGCTAATTGCTCCTTGCATTGAAACGTGTGACATTATCTGTACACTTTCTGCACTGTTATGCAATTGAAATTGGCAAGACTGTAATTATTTATTTACTTTGTATGTGTTGAGAGCTTTAGTGTAAAGAAATTGTGCTTGGCTTACTAGGTACCTTGTTCGGTTTAGGTATTTATTAAAGGGGCACTGACACAAAATTTCATGGCCAAGACGGCCTGCGGGATCGATTCGCGTGAACGTTCATATATCGTCTGCAAAATATCAACAGTGAATATAGCTTGGAAGGCATCTTCAATTAATTTTGAAGTTTGTGTGAGCACTAGACTTCATTGTGCCATTGACACCCTCGAAGGGGACCCTTTAGGGACCCCCAACTACGCTCACGCCACCAGCTGCAGTCAATAAAACATGTTATGATGACATCGTAGTCGGCATTTTTTTTTGCCGGGTTTGTTCGCACAGTCTACGCTTCTTGGTTGGTGGTCGCGAGTGCGTAATTATGGCTCACGCTTTGAAAATTTTGTGTTTAGCGACACTGCAATCCCGTTTCTTATTCGAAAGTAATTCTTGATGCGATCCATGCGGAAATGTGTCACAGTTCTGCGTGCTGACGTGATCTAGAGCAGAACGTGCTCGGTGGCGATAGTTGCACTCAATGGCTCCTCATATTTAAAGCTTTCTAAACCTGAAACTGGTCGATGATGAGATACCTGTAAATACTTATCCGTGATGTGCTACAGCAAACATGTGCAGGGTTATGGCTAACAGGCCTTCAGCAATACATTGCAGTATAGTGGTTTTGGGACGTTAAACCCCACGTATCAATCAATCATCAAGCAATACATTGCAGCAGAAGAACGCGAGCCTAACGTTTTTGTGTGAGTACCCCTTTGAGGCACATCTTTACACGTCTATAAGTGCAAGGAGAAATGTTTGTTGTATAAGTAACTTCAGTGCTTGCTGGTAACACTTTTATTTTGTACTGCAATATGTAAATAAGGATTTAAGCCTTTAGCAGGAGTCTCGTGTTTCTTCGTTGTGCCTTATTCTCTGTAAAACCTCAGTGCATGTCCGTATAGTCTGAACAAAATCTTTAAATTATATGGCCAAACAAACTTGATTTGTAAATGATATTTTTTTTAAGTGCCCTACCTGAGCAATATCGACTTGAGTTTCCCTAAATGTATCTCCCTTCATTTCCATCATCAAGCATGGCTATATTGATACGCAGATAAGGTGAATGAAGACGAAGGGCAGGAGCATAATCAAGTATTGTAATATATTTACAGAGATAAAGTGAAGGAAGTGATAGGCATTCTGTTCCATCATGAAGCGTTGTGATATCGTTGTGAATATAACGTGAAGAAAGACCAAGGGCAGGAGGAGCAAACGGGCGTGCGTGTGTGTGTGTTAGTCAGCCATGGGTAAGGAACAGGCAACAGTCAATATGACTAACTGACACACGCGCATCGTTCAGATCCTCCTGCCCATTAACTTCCTTCACTTCATCTCCGTAAGGATATTCTTTGTTTTACATAGGTTTTCCTATTACCTTCACTGTGAAGTAAGGCTTGAAATGAATTTAGTGTGTTGAGTTGTGTGCATTGTGTCATCATATATCCATAGTAGTTTTATCATTTTGGTATCGAAAGGTGGCCTTCTAAGTATGTACGAAGGTGTAGCGATTGTTCTAATTCAGTGTAAATAGTTACACACTGTGATAAATGGAATAGTATCTACACGTGTGAGGTATTGTAAGTGTCTGAAATATATTTATGAATACAGTAGAATCTCTATGATACGATTGCTGGTGATGCGAATTTTGCGACGATACAAATTTTAAGGTTGTTTTGGATCGACTACATTACATGAAACACACCGTCATTCGGTGTTACACGAACGGTTTTCCCATTCACCGCGGATGATACTGGCGCATAGCTGACCGATCCACTTGAACGGCACAACGCAGCTTGTCTGTAAGAGGGAGCTGCGAGAGTGAGTAAACCGCAGCACTTTATCGAGAGGCGGTGAAAGCAAGAAAGTTCAAAAGAACATTATGCACTTTTTTTCGGCTGGAGTAGTTGACCCAATGAAGTTTGTTCATCATCATGGTCAGCTTCAACTGTTTTGTTCATATCAATTCAGAATGATACGAATATCTTGCATACTCCCTTCAAATTTGTATCTTCAAAATTCTTTGTAGCTCATTCTGTAATTTATATGGAATTATTATGCTTTCATTCAAACAGGATAGAGACCTTCATGTAAAGTGTATGAACTGTGCTAGTATACATAGAAAGACATTTTTCTACAGAATCCATGTAAATGTTCCATCACACCTGTCCACTAAAAACTGTGATGCGTTGGATTTGTTGCAACTGATATTTTTTCCTTTTTTCATGTTCTCCTATATTACCGTCTTTCACTCGTGTCTTGATTATTTCATTTGCTAAAATATCACCCGAGATTTGGTGCAGCATTATTAAAATAAAGCATGATAAATACTATATTGTGCTTCTCCTTGTTTTGGCATACTATTACAAAGAAAATTTGATGTTTAGGCACAGTATCAGAATATCATTCAAATCAGGCCCGTGTGCATTTGCCTAACATTTTGAATGTATCGAGGGGAGTTCTTACATCCAGAGAGAAGGAAATTTTTGTACAGCATGTCGCGTCATTGCATGGTTACTACTGCAGTAACATGTTGTTTGCATAAGTGAAGTAATTGTATACTTCATTTACCAATCCAGCAACCTTTGTTCATTTCCTGGAACTGTAATCTACTTACAGACAACGTGTTTCACATAGTCTTCATTGTCTTTTTGTTCCTTTCATGACTTTGCAGGATCCTTGTCTTCGACATCTCATGAGCAGTACCTGTCACTGGTGACCGTTCAAGGTGAACTGCATTCCTGTCGTCAGTGCACCTATGTGACCAAGTACAAAGGGCACATGCAACAACATCTTTGCAGACATACGGGCGTGCGCCCCTATAAGTGCCATCTGTGTCCAGCTACATTCT